TTGGTTGGTTGGTTGGTTGGTTGGTTGGTTGGTTGGTAAAGAAGCCAAGGAGAAATGTCACTCATAAGACTGCAGACTACATAGATCATAATGATCAGCATTCACTTGGATCCATCAGCCTATGGGAAGCCAAAAACAAACTAACCAAAGGCATGAGGAAGCCTGGGTCCAAATGGATGCCTCCAAGTCATCCCATGGCCAGTCCTACACATGCACCTACCCACGGGCTACCCACTACCCACCGGACACGTGAGGAGGAAAGCGTCAAAAGAATCCAAAGTCCCCTTGTCTCCCTGAGTGGCACGAGTGTGTAAATGGTCTTCTCCACGCGGTTTAAAACCAGCCAGAACTGGCATTGCCTTATTTAACACCCATGACTCATGATCTACATAGATCCACATCGCTGGCTATCTTGAGGTGCTGTGAGATCCCTCATGTCATAATGTCTGTGTGTAAGTTCTAAGTTCCAATTCCTTGAAAAAAGCATGGATAGCATGGATCATTGGTCTTTTCATCTGTCTTCCATGAAGAAACATAGCTGGCTGGAGATCTTCCATCTTCCACCTCCAGCATACCGGGGCCAAGCCCGTTCAGAACCGACCATCCAGGCCTTCCGAGGCACGGAGGGCACGGAGGGCACGGAGGGCACGGAGGGCACGGAGGGCACCGTCACCGGCTGCGCGGGCCTCTGTGGGCCCTCAGAGCTGTCCTGGGAGATCGGGATCGCCACCGAAGGTCAAAATTCACTGGATGTCCGTTGCTAGATGTTAGTAGTATCAGGATCGAAGTATTTCTACTGTAAGTGCACTCGGGAAGATTAACATGGAACCTGAAAACCACTGGGTTGTAGAGGAGTGTACAGTAATAAATAGGTCAGACATTGGTATCAGAATTTAAAAGTAGGGTTTGGACCCACAGTTGGAGGGATTTTCATGGAGATCTTGATCTGCTCAACTGCGTAACCGTGAAGCGTTGTAGGAGATGTATGACCCATTTTCTTCACACTGAGATGATATGTCTGACTACTACCACACCTTTTTGGACTGGATTTTGCCATCAACCGCATCTCAGATTCTTCCTTCACAACGATTCCGAGTAGGTGGACTATTGGATGATTCAAGCGGGTCACCGAATCTCCAGTGGGCTTTAAATGGACCTTCATCATGTCAGTCCCCTCTTCGTTCCCAGTGTCTGCGACTGAAATCACCACCGTCAATGCGTAAGCCTGCGAACCGTCTTGTCGTAAATCATCCAGATACACCTCCCTAAAATGATCATGGAAGTGGAAAGCCGCCTGTTTGGCATTCGGAAAATTGTCATTCAAGGGGCCTATGTCCCACTTCCATTATTATTTCAGGGATTGTACAGGCTTGCTCTTGGTATCTGGATGTCTGTGCAGGTCTTCAGCGTGCCAATGACCTTCTTGCGTGTTCAAAAGCAGGTGTGCGGTTGGACGGCCAACGCTGTCTCTTAAAGAGCGCTTGAGCTCTTGGATCTGGTGGAGGAACCATGAACAACATAATGTGCCGTGACCAAATCTTTGTGCAGGAGGAATCTGCCAGTCGTCCGTGTTCGTGTTCACAAAGGCATTGAACCCATCCAGTTCACCTCCACCAAGCAGTCGGTGAATTGGTGACCTAGTGGATGTGTTGCAAGCCTTGTGGTCAACCCTAAACTGCACCAAAATCAGCATCTGCAAGACTCCCCCCCCCAAACCATGTTCCTTCCTCCCAGACGCCCCCAAGCTCCCAACCGCCTTCTCGGCGAAGGCCTGCGCCGCCACCTGCGCGATCGCCTCCTCGAGGCGCGTGGTGTCACAGCTGCTGTAGCTGAGATTCCTCGCGGAGGCCGCGTGCGGGAGCGTCCGGGAGCGTCCGGGAGCGTCCGGGTGGGTGCCCCCCTCACCCGGACCACCCGAAGTGGTGTGCCAAACCCAGGATGCAGGATGCAGAGGTGGTAGCAAGGCTTGCTTTGCACCGCTTCAAAATGATATACCGCGATATACCTCCGTCTATCACTTGACTGTGCGACTGCCCCTGTGCCGCTCTAGTCGGCCAAGACCTTTCTATATGAAAGAAAAAACCTCTTGAAACATGTAGACACTGCCCAACTGTGGGTCCAACGGATGTTTGGAAAAAAAACAAAAAGAAACCAACGTCTCCCACGTACCTGGCCTGGGTCGCAACGGCGTGAACGAAAAGAGGCTGTTTTCGCCCGCTGGAGCCGCGCGCTGCTCCTCCCGAGGAAAACATTGGTCGTGTCTCCGGAGGTGTCGTCACCAAAATACGACGTTTTGCTGGGAGGAGCCCAAGGAGGTGGAGAACTGTTTTTGGCCCATTTTTTCGGAAAAATGGTCATCGAACAGTGGAGAGACGAATTGGGTGGATGATGGTGGATGACGACATGCCTGTGGGTCATGCTCAGTTCGTTGCAAGACTCTCCTTCCTAAACCGAACTCGTGCATGCCCGCGCACACGAACTCGTGCCCCGAACACCAAAAAGTGCCTCGGCTTTGAATGGCCTCCTTTTTTGAGAGATGAGAAACTGCGAATTGGTGCAACCTTCAACCTTTTGCAGATGGTAGATTCGTCAACTGTCTCAACATGCAAATGCTACTATACTCCTAGCAGCCCTAGCAGTTGCCCGGTCGTCCAGAACAGCATCTAAGAACCTGGAGAAACCGGATCCATTCTCCGAAACACATAGAGTCCTGAAGAGAATTCCTCATTTGGACACCACGCTTTTCTGTAGATAGGGCCAAAGAACACCCAACGGAGCCCCCAGCCACCTTCTCAGGCACGCGCGGCGGGCTGCCCAGCACCAAACTATCACGGCCCAAGGTGGTCACCGCGTGTTGCAAGCGAGGGTCCTCCTGACTCTGCAAGAAAAACAGCCATGAAGCAGCTCATCTCGCTGATGTCGTTTCCAGAAGAAAGTCGAACATCGCACGCCATTCGAACCAACCCATTCGAACCGAACTCACGGTCTACTGACGAAGCCGTCGACCCCGCAGGACCTGTCGGATGCCATAGAAGGTGAGGAAGCTGTTGAACGTCTTCGCCTCCTCAGGACGTCGGATCACTGGAACCGATCGGCTCGAAGTCGCTGATCGGTGGGGTGCCGATCGGCCTCCAGGGCTTTGTCCAAAAATCCTGTCACATCACAGGAGAGTCTAGGAACATGAATGGGTTTGTTGAGAGCAGTTTCATGTAGAGTGCAAAACCATGTATCAAACCTTTCCAAATTCTTTATATTCAATCGACCGTCGACATTCGCTTAAAGATCTACACTGGACACTTGGACTCCAGGGAGAGGGTTCCTGCTTCAAACTTCCACAGAAGGCGACGCGGGTTCAACTTGGGTTTCATGCAAGCTTTGTCAAAGAACACGGCAAACAGCTTCATCCAATGGCTGCTTGGAAGAATGGATCGTCCCAATGGTTGCCACCAAGTGCTGAAACACACCCTGGTAAGAAGCCACGAAGAACTGGACTGATTAAATCCTAAATCCAGAAATCCAGAAATCCGAACTGAACCTCATCAATGAGCAAGGGAGGTAGGGGCCCAAAGTTGATCCTGAACAGGGGCAGGAAGAACCACCTGGGATATGACACGTCTTCAGTGGTACCATAAAACCCACACGAGCAAGCATCTTTCCGCCCTCACTCTGCGGCTACTAGATGAGCTTGCGTTGCAAGTCTATGATCGTCCACCACAGCACCTCGCATAATCAAAGCTCCGACATCTTCTCTGAGACAACTCGACTGCCCCTGCCTCCCCGTGCATTGCCCCAGGTCACCACGGACCCATCCGCCAAAACGGCAGAAAAGGAAACCAAAGACGCTTGAACTTGCTGGACATTCTTCAGTTGATCTTGCACAGCGCTGCTGTCACCACCATGTTCTGGATCGCCCCAGGTCACCACAGACCCAGTAGCCAAAATGGCCACGAAGGCACTGGCAGATGCTTGAATTTGCTGCACATTTCTCAGCTGATCTTGGACAACACTGCTGTCACCACCACAATCAGGATCGCCCCAGGCCACGACAGACCCATCAGCCAAAACGGCAGAGAAGGCGCTATGAGAAGCTTGAACTTGCTGGATGCCTCTCAGCTGATCTTGGACCACACTGCTGTCACCGCCAGCTTCTGGATCGCCCCAGGTCACCGCACGGCCATCTGCCAAGATGGCAGTGAAGGCACCGGCGGATGCTTGAACTTGCTGCACATTCCTCAGTTGCTCCTTCACAGCACTGCTGTCACCACCCTCGTCTGGATTGCCCCAGGTCACCGCAGACCCATCAGCCAAAATGGCAGCGAACGCACCGGCAGATGCTTGAATTTATATATATATATATGGAGTTGTAGGTGCTGTAGCCCTTGAGTTGCTATCAGCACGCAAAGTCCTTAGCTGCGCATCAACGCTCCTCCCCGTGGCGAAGACGCCACACGGCTTCCTGCACCTTAGTGAGATGATCCATGACAGCCGAATCTGCCGGGCCAGAGGCCCAACCAAACCTAGCGGTGAGGGGGTTACGGGGCTTAGAAGGCCTACAGTCGCGAAAATGCTCACAATGCCACACCAAGTGGATCCAAGACGGTCTGAGTCTACCCTGACAGAAGGGGCAATCCTGCAAAGCGGGGTCATACAAAGCCGGGGACACAGAGGCCCCCAGAGCAACATGCCTAAAGGTAGAGTCCGTATCCATACGCTTACGTGTGAAGCCAATATCGACACAGCGAAAAAACTGTTCCAAGTTTTCTTTTGAATGATCTTGCAAAAGCTGCGTGACCTCATGTCTTTGACAGCGAAGCCACTGAACGAAAGCGTGCCACCGAAACTGCATTCTCAATTCATGCCTTTGAGCAGAGAGACCCTGTGTTCGACGGTCAGAAGACCGAAAAAGTTGCACCTCGACACCACTGTAACAACGCCACGTCCAAGGGCGCACCTCACTGCAACCAATCCCTTTCAATTGCCTGCGAAGCACACCAACAGGCGAAGCATAAGAGTTGCACCAAGGTAAGTCAAGCTTGCTTAGTGTACCCCACAGCCGTTGGATCACCGCACTCACCAAATGAAGCGATCCACCGAAAAAGAGCATGAGAAGCCATTTACTAGCCATTCGGGTCTTGCCACCAACAACACGCCTGAAAGATTTCAAGAGGCGATCACCGGACGTGAGGGTGGGAGACCTACAGACCCAACCATAAGCCCCAATGCTCAAGACGAAGCATCTAAAAGCTTCCACAGCCCTAGTCCAAGGCAGAGACGCACCAACCAACAGCGAAGCAGCCTTCTCAGCCTTGTCCAATCTCTCCTGCTCACCAATCGTATATTTACGAACTTTGGACGTGGTAGAGACCCCAAGGGCTTTGACTTCAGAAACCTTCCACTCAGGCGGGCAAGGGTCATTGTCAAAAGAGCGCCGCGCACAAACCTGAGTCTTGCGATTGTTCTCCTTTAAACCGATAGAGTCGGACCACCGAGCCCATTCCTGGACGCGAGGACCAACTTCATGCCAATCTTTAGCCCACCAAGTTCTGTCATCCATGTAAATGGAAGTACAGCTACGCTCAGCATCATGACCAAGGTTAGACTCAACCTTCCGTAGGCCAGCGGTAGCCACAAAACCTAAGATAGTCGGGGCGATCGGACAGCCTTGCGGAACAGCGCGCCCAGAAGGGAGCGGAGTAGGGCTGGTGTGAGCCCCCCACTGAACCCACCTAACCTGATTCGCCCAAACAGCCTGAAGCAGCGTAGCGAAACGAGGATCCCAACCACAGTCAGTAAGCGCCTGACAACAGATTACCGGAGACAAGCGGTCATAAGCCGCAGACCAGTCCAGGGAAACAATGTAGCCATCCTGATCAGCGTACAGCGCCTGTAAGCGGGCGATCAAAGCTTCAGTGGTCAAACCCGCCTTTCTGCAAGCGACCCTCTCGTCAAGAGACTGGCTCACCCAATCTTGAACATCCTCGGTCTGAAGCAGAGCAGCGGCAAAGGCACGCCAAAAAACCGACAACACGGAAATAGGGCGAGTAGCAGCAGGATCAAGAGACCCATCACCAGACACCTTACCTTCCTTGGCCAGGTTGACCATTCTGCTCTCAGTGAGTTGCATGGGCACCGACCCAGACCTAAGCCACCTCTGAGTCAGCGTCCACCAAACTTGCACTGCATCAAAAGGCAGATGCTTAACCTCAGCGCTGTGCCATTGGTCAGGCCCGGCAGAACCCTTGCAATGCAGCAGCGCGCGATGAAGATCAGAGGCCGACGGCCCAACCCAATGACCCGCAGGGCGGAACCCAAAGTCAGAAGCCAGCTGACGACTAAGCGCAGGATTCGCAAGCCTACCCTCGCTCCAAACACTCTCCCAATGTTCGCGGATGAATCGCGCCGACTGCTCATGCGTTTCAGCTTCAACACCCTGCTGAACGAGCGTGACCTTGCGACAGACCATTTGTTTGCCCTTAATCCATTTGCCTAAGGCGCCAAAGGTATCCATTCACGCAAGCGACGGTCACGCAGCTGGGCTTCCATCCTAGACTGCGACCTTTGAAGCTCCGAAATTTCGGTCTGAGCCATCGCAAGAATGTCCTGGGCAGAGGTCGGAACTGCCGACCCTTTCCAAAGCTTGTGAAACAAAGTAAGTGGAACATACCCCCTACGGCAAATAAACTGCCGAAGCTCATGAAGTCTCGCCAGGCGACGCCTGGCCCGCCGTAAAGACTCACCAGCCAAAGGATCTCCAGCGCCGCGAAGGACGGGTCGAACCCATTGGTGTTTGGCCAACTGACCCTTCTGAGCGACCCCCCCTTGCTGAGAAAGACGATCTAAGGCATTGACACCATCTTCGTCACTGACAGATCTTTTGAGAGATTGGATAGCGAACTCAAAACAGTTCGTCAGAAGACGGACAAAGAGATCCCATTCAGCTTGAACATGCTCCTGATTGTCCCCTTGCTCGCCAACATGCATAAGCTGTTGCAAATCATGACCATCGCACGCCCAAACCTGGCGCCAAGCCTGCTCAAGCGCTTTCCTCCAAAGATCAAGCGGAACGCCGACAGGCTTGAACCACTTAGGAGCCGGCTTAAGACGACCAATCCAATTGTCCTGAAAGGACAGGTCGGCGCCAATCCAAAAACCTTTGTGGTCAGAAAACTTAATCTCCGTATTGAAGCCAAGATGCCGAAAATGCTCGCGAGAGGAGCGACAGAAGCACCAATCAACACATCTATTCCCTTCCCATCTGGAAGGCTCTAAGCAATCACCACACAGGGCACCACCTCTTTGAGAGAGGAAGCGCCCCAACACACCGTCACTAGCCAACTGATTAGCATCGCCAGCGAGGACCCAACTTTGAAGATCCAAGGCCAGGGAGCCCCAAAGACTTCCGAGAGCTTCCACACCAACTTCCGCATGCTCCGGAGGAGTGTAAAAGTTGACCCAAACAGACCGACTGACCCAAAGAGCCAAAAACTGCGTACCTTTGTGCGAAACAGAAGCAGCCAACCTATGGTTAATAGACTTATGAACCAAAGTGGCAACACCGCCCCTAGGAATCCCGTTGCTGCGAAAGCCACCTGACACATGATACGCGTAGTAGCCATCACGGAAAGCCACGCGCGCAAAAGCGTCCCACTCACTCACACTCATGGCAACCTCTTGGAGAAAAACCACGTGCGCGCGCAAGAAGCCTTCATTTCGGAGACGCCAAGCGCCAGGGGCGCCACCGCAATTCAGAACAAAAAGGTTAGGGCCAGGGGCCCTAGCCTCACCAACTCTGCAAGCCCGCAGACCATGGAGACGAAGACGATCCGGCAAAGGAGCCGCCTCAACCCGGTCCATGGTCTGCCCACGCCATCACTCATGTTCTCCCTCACAAGCCTTCTTCGGCGGAAACTTATCAGCCTGGAGAAGGTCATCGATTTCCTGCTTTGTTCTTCCACTCAAGTCCAGGAAAGAAGCAAAATGACGAGGAAACTTGGTCTGGAGTTTAAACCACCATCTTCTCTTATTGTTACGCACGGAATTATTCTTCTTGAGATCCTGAAGGGC